TGCAACTCCTTTTTAGTTGGAGAACCAAGTGCATCTTATGGAGGAAAACATGAAGGGGAACAAGTTGGAGGGGGAGAGGTTGCTAAAAGAGAGTTTGCACTACCAGTCCGAGATTGTTAGGCTTGAAGAAACACACAGAACAGTAATGATTATGATGATATGATTTTTCCTCTTCAATACCATTATAATATTTTGCTCAAATTTTGTTCCATCTTTATAATATATTCATATTGAAGGTTTTGGAGAACATGGCGCTGGAGATAAAGGAACTTGAAAAAAAAAATGAAGAAAATAAAGCTGTTATGTCTTTAAAGTATGTTTCCAAGTTTTGCTTTCTGGTTGCTTTCTTATTCTTTTTACAATATCTCGTTTTATGTTAAACAGTAATCTCCAGGTTAAAAGAGGCTAATGGAAAAATTGCCGAATTAAGTGAGGCTAATATAAAATTGGAGGATGCACGCTCTTCGTTACAGGGAAAGATTGCTGCTGCTAATGAGCGCGAAAATTTACTGTAAGGGAAATATCCTTTCCTTTTTTAAAATATATCGTGCTATATATATAAATATATAAGTGTATTTAAATATAAGTGTAAGCATAAGTATGAATACGTATATATATTACATATCATATATAATATACAATATATTATATATTATATATTATTATCTATTATATATCATACATATAAGAGGTGGTAAATATTTCGAAAAGTCATAACTCTGCGCTTAGTCTTAGAAATATATTTGTTAAAAGGCAAAGCGTACTAGCAAAAGATCTTTTAAGGAAAATTTATAATATTAATTCCATATTCTTTCAGTAGTAATACGCATATAATTCCAATCTTCTCCACGTGTACCAACATACCTTTTGGCGTAATCTCGTATAAGGGAGACCAAGTGCTTTTCAGTTGCTTTTTTTTCTTTTTAGTAGCTTTAGATACCGAGTTTCTTTGGCTATGACACTTCACAAGAGGAGCTCGAGCAGTGGTACCTTTCTTCTTTGGCAGTCATTTGACAGGCTTTTTCCGTTTGACTAGTCTGATAGAACTGTGATTAGTATACTCGTAGACTTCCGAGTAACCTGTGAATGCTTTTCTATTTAAAAAAGTGGCTTGGGGTATTAAAAAGAAGAGCACCTTTTGTCTCAGTCAGTTATTCTCCACCATACATCTAACGAATAATGGACTTACAACATGGTCTAGCGGGGTCTGAAACTTTTACGTCATAATGTGACTAAATTTTCTTACTCTGCGGCAAACTGTGGCTTCGTGGTATGCATCTGATCAGTGTACGGTGGTGCGAAGTAAATGGCTATTTAAGACGAATGTGGCTTTATCAGTTCATAAAAAATTTAGCGTTTCCCTCCTCTCTTTCCTTGAGTTTTTCCGATGCTCCCATTTGCAAAAGTACTTCAGGTGGCTGTACTTGCTTCTGAAGTCTGCCTAGAGAAATTTTTTAAACATTAACTCACATTAGCTTGTTCTTTGATCCTAATGATTCAATTAGGTTATTGCTTAGGAGTGACTTTTTCAAAATATTTACCACCACTTGCATACTTAGAGCTGTGTTAATGAGAAGCCCTACTTTTTCTTTATTACCATTTTTTAGCCAACTCAAGTTAGAAGAAGAGTCTAAAAAGCATGAAGATGCTGTCAAGGCTGCGATTTCTGCGAAGGAAGAAAGAATTAAGTTAGTTTTTTTGAAATCTTTTTCAAATTCTTCATATTTGCATGTCAGGCCTGAGTGCTTGTTCTTGGTTTGTTTATGTATAGGGCCTTCTGCGTCAAATGGTACATTTTTTTAGTCGACCTCTCAGATTTTATGAAATATCAAAATTACAGGGTGGCTTTTATGGTATTATAAGGTATGATATGATTACTGAGACTAGGCTGCAAGAAATTTTCAGTTACTGCACTATTTTAGCGCTTCTGCAAGTGCCAGCGGTTTGGTTTTTCCTTATACATTCTAATATTGAAACATGTTTTAGTTCAAGTGGTCCAGTAATACATACTTTATCTAAAATTCTTTGAGTGATTTTAATGAAATTTTTTGAGAATTACTTTAATGGTTGTTTCTCCAATACGTATCGCTGTGGTTCGCCACTAGACTTTTTCAACTCATATATTTTAAACTCACTGTTGACTGTTGACAGTGGATTCTGCTTTGTTTTTGTCATTCCAGTAGTTTTTGGTGTAATGCAGCCAAATTTTTGTGTGTCTGCAGTCGTTAATCTTGCGTGAAAGTGCTGCACCAGAAGACCTCTTCCTCCTCACATTCTTTTGAGAAAACACTGATATTTTTATCAGTTGGTTCAGTGTCTGGTTGTAAAGGGCTTTGGCAGTTAAGATTTGGCTTGAAAATGTCTTTTTTACCTTCTTTCGTTACTAGTCTTTTTAACGTGCCTTCCATATTATCACAAGCCTTTTTTAATGCAGTTTGAGAGGATTCTTCTGCAACTCTGAGGTCTGCAGCGTGGAAAATAAAATTCCAAAAATTCTTGCAATTTTTGTTCTGCATGCAGTATCATCGAAAAAGTAATTGATGTTCCAGTTCCATTTTCCCTCCGGAGAGTTTGAAAAATAGTGTTTAATATATTCTTGACTACCTTATTATGAGTAAGAGGTTTTGGTACTACAACAAGTCTGTAGAAGCAGCTGGATTCAAGCAAACGAGTAATGGCTTGCGCCTTTGTCTAGCGGTTTCACCGAGCAGCCTTCTGAACAACAGTTGCCTTGATTAAAGTACGTTTCAGTATAACAGTACGCTAGTTGGAACTGAAATGTTGTCATTTGCAGGAGCGCCAAAGTGTGAGTAAGCTGAAAATTTTTTGCATTTTAGTCTCACCAGTCACGTCGTTATCTGTGACACCATGAAAATACTACCTTTTATTTTGACATTTTA